ATCCGGGGCCGTGGATCGACATACTGACTTCTAGAGATTTAAGCCATCTTGAAAAAGGTGAGGCTGTGACACATTTTTCTGACATGGTTTATTATGCCTATTTGTCCTTTGTTCGTGGGGATCACTGAAATTGAAATGTGTCCGATGTGTCCTTCGCTGTCAGTGCTGATGGGCTGGAGCTGGAGAGCGGACTGATGGTGGATCAGGCTGTGGAGAAACGCTTCACTGGAGATGTGCAACTGGGTTTATCAATTTTAGGTAAATACTGTTCTTGATACTGTGTGAGAGTTTTTTTAATATGCATTGTGCATGTTGATGAGTCACTGATTTTTGTTTTCCTATGCAATAACAGTGCAGTGCATTGAAGGCCCTTACGTCTACCTCGCCAAAAGACTAACTACTATGAAGGTAAGATGCTGTAATCAAATGTTTCCTTTATTCTGATGATTTATGGAACTTGAAAAAAGACTGATTGAGGAATGGCTGAATTGATTCTTTACATATCATACAATAAAAATATACGTTTAATATACATAGTTTACTAATTATGAAAGACTTGTTTTCCTGGCACAGCAATGAAATTACTAAGTAAAGTAAATAGAGGTGGATTGTTTGTAAATCTCATCCCAATATCCAACTTTACCACTAGATGGCACTCAATTCTAAACACTGGTCCTTTAAATGTCTGACAAGCATTATGAAATGTTTCAAATGGGTAATAACTCCCTTTGCTTTTTGCCAACAACTAGGAAATCACATGTGCAAATGTGAGTGGTTTAAAAAAATCTACCTTTAAAGGCAAACCTGCGTGAACTACTGTCCAACAGACATGTTTCACTCTGAGGTTGAAAAAAAAAACTCTTAACAAACCATTTCATTTTTTCAGGCACCTATAGTGCAGGGGATTATGGTGTCTCACTGTGAGGAAGATCTGCTGTGTATCAGAGCTGCCTTCAATAAATTAACAGGAACGTCTCTCTACACGACTCTACAGGTGGGTCACTCTCATGAAACTGTGAAATAAATAACATAATATGTTTCTTCCCCCCTTACATTATAAATGTAATGAGAAAATCCTGTTGATTTACAAATCATGTTAATTTCTTCTTTTCCTACAGAACAAGTTCAAAGGAGATTATCTACACGCTCTGCTGGCCATCTGTCGATCTGAAGATTAATATAAATAAATGTTTAACAAACTCATGCACGCCTTGCGTATACTTCCTCAAAAATCCTTTATATGCAACTTGTGTTGGGTTTTTCTGTGAGTGCAGTTTAAGTTATTTGTTTTTTATTACCTTTGTATTCACCACATGATGATGAGTCATACATTATTCAGTTTCAAAACACCATGTATGAACAAACAACATTTCACCCTTCATGTTATTAATTAGTTACACATTTTGCGACAATACTGTTCCTCCTTTTTTAAATACTACAAATTGAATATATAATTGAACATTGTACTATATTATAAATTGATAGTATAAGAATTTCCATTTTAAAAAAAACTATATTTTTGTCTTAAATAACTTTAAAACACTGACTTGAGAAGATAGGATTTCTGCTCTACAAAGAATTCATGCTTGACATTGACAGAGCTACATTCAATTTTTTTTTTAGATTTCTTTATTTAAAAGGGACAACGCAAATTAATTAACAAGAGCAACGAAGTCCACATGTAAATGTGCCAGATTTAGCCATACAGGCTAATTTTCATCTGCAGTCCCTGGCAGGTTGATGACATTTAAGAAAACATTAAAAAGCATACAGGAAAATGCAACACAAAAACATAGACACAAGAACACATAAGCATAACAAATAAAACAACACAAGTGTTAGTTAAAAGATAACACATACACATGGAAGCAATTGATAGAGCAGCACACAGACATAAAATAAAAATGTGTAACATATAGCACATTTAAATATATGAGCATTTAAACACAGACAAAAGCACCATGCACAGAAAAGGAGCATATACAGTATAAGAACAGACAAGAAGCATAAGCGCACAGACTACAAGTAAAAACAAAGTACATTAATCCAGATTATGGCAGCATGTCTGATTGTTTAATAGCAATTGTTTTATAGATTTAGAAAAGGATTTCAGAGATGTGATGTTCATTAGTTCTGTGGGTATAGTATTCCAAGTATGTGCTGCTCGAATTACTTTTTATATTGACCTCCAAATACCTGAAGTTTATTAATGTGCACATTAAATTTAACTTAAATCTGTTCCATCTTTAGAGTGCACCTTCATTCACTATTATTCAACATTCACCCGAAGACACAATTTCAAAAAGTTAAAATTTACCAGTTACTGCTCGGTGGCAGTAGAGTGTAGAGCAACACTGGCATGACAGAAAACAGCAGAGAAGCTCTGACGCCTGACCCTCCACTGTCTGGGGTGGTAGACTTGGCTGTAGAGTTTGTAGGAGGAAATGGTGTAGAGGAGGTTATATTGGGAGGGGGTGCAGACGAAGCATTGGTTGGGGAAGAGGATGTAGTCATCGGCATAGAGGAGGTCGTAACACCTGTAGCAATGGAAGGGGTTGCAGATGAAGTCTTGTTTGGCGGAGGGGATGTAGTTATCGGCTTAGAGGAGGTCGTACCACTTGTAGCAATGGAAGGGGTTGCAGATGAAGTGGTCATTGGAGCAGTAGTTTCAGGCATGGTGCTAGTCAGTAGGGTAGTGGTACTCGTCTGGGTGGCAGCAGCGGGGGTGGGGCTGGTTGTTAAAATGATTGTGGTGTTTGGAGGAGAAACAGTTTTAGTGATGGTTATAGGCATAGCTGTAGAAGTCCGTGTGAAAGCTGTTGTAGGCGGGATCATAGTACTATGTGATCCATTATTTGAATCAGAGGCTTTGGTCAGTTTTTCCGGTGAAGTACCAACATGAGTAGACATTTCTAGAGCCTGATTGGGAAACGAGATGAAAAATGATTTAAATCAGTGTTACAAACAAAAACTTTTGTGTAGACACCAACAATACAGATGTTTCCAATTCCCATCAGTCTAAAAATCTTTGAGTCTTATCATTGAAATATAGAAAACATGTTTTTGACTTATTTTAAAGTATTGTGTTATCTTGTCCTTTTGATAAAAAAAATTAATACATTTGTATCCGCACTCAAGCAGTTTTTTCCCTTAATTAAACCACTTAAAAAACAGAGTTCAAACTATTGGCGCAACAGATACATTTAGAAGTTTTCTATCAAAAGTTTGTAACAACCCAAAAAAAAGACACATTCGATGGGTGTATACAACATATTAAATTACATGAACACCTTGAGTGACCTTTTCAGGACAATGACACAAGTCAGCACTGACTCATCCACAATGACGATACCAACAGACTGTCCGTCTATCTATTGATTGATTTTTTTATTTAATTAGGAATGTGTGAGTTTGAACAAGTATATTAACAGATTTTCTTGTAGAGTCATTTTTTAAAATATTCTGAATTTGTAAGTAGTTACCTGTCCAAAAGCCAGCAAAGCCAATATGTAAAATCCCCGAGCCATCATCGTCCCTGATGGAAGGCCAAGTGGAGACAAAGATGCAGCAGAAATGTAAATGAAAATGTCCCAGAAATCTGCCAGATATGTTTTCTAGTGCGGGGAAAGTTCTCCCACTGTGACCTGGTCTGCTTCCAGTCTCCTCTGGTAAACTAAGCAGATCATTTTTCCCTCCACTTTTATACAGAAACATCATGTTTCAGGGAGGGGAGAGTTTATGACGTACAGTATAAATCTGGCTCTGGATCCAGGAAGGAGCTGCAAGTGTGTCGCGTGTGTGGCAAGGATAATTTTTCTATTCTCAGCCATTTCTTTTGACCGCCATTGTAAATTGCACTCATAAACATGTACAATCTATACTGACACAGTTCCTGATACTAAAAATATTAGAGTCAATACTGCAATAAAGCGATTAACTATCAACTTCCTCAATGTTTTCATCAAACAAATCATTTACAATCAAGCCTCAATTATTAAAATATCATAGTACTCTTTAAGCTTGCTCCTCAAAGACTTCTTATTACATACAGAGTATTTTAGAAGACCCCTTATTGTTTTAATTTCACGTCATTTTTAAAATGTTGTAACTTTTTATGGCACAATGATGGAAAATATTCCATTTCCTCATTGTGATGTTAACACCTGGTTTAATTTTTAATCTAAATAATTCTGTATGAATTACTTCTGCTGGAGCTGCATGTATTTCCTCCTTTGTGGATAATTGACAAACTGATTATGAAACAAGTCACGTTAATGTTTCCTCTTGCTTGACAGATCAGTTGAGATATAGCATGATGATTGTCATTCTTAAGATTCAATTCCCAGAAAACTCTTTGAGATCCTGAGCGGGCGGGGGTTTCTGTCACATCTCCCAACTCAGTTTATGACTCACCTGCCCTAATAGATCCGGTCTTTCAAAGCATAGTTGTCTGCACACTATGAAAGGACAACCCCAGTTTGGCTAGGACACAACGTTAATGAAAAGCTTAAGCACATTTTTGTTTTTGAAGGAGGCTTGACCATTTTCTTTTCTTTGTTTATCACGTTCCTTGCATCTGTTTTACTCTGCAAACTAAGCTAATGCTAAGGTAATGATAACAACTGTCGACCACCCCCACTGGGAAAAAAAGCACAGAGATGGAATGACACTTTTTGTAAATCATTAATTTAATCTTTTTCAACAATATCTTAACTCTAGGGTCATCGTGCTTTCAAACTCTTCTTTTTCTTCTGTCTTTGACCCAACAGGATATAAAACGCATCATATGAAAATGAGGTATTAGTTGTAAACTTCTTTATGCGCTGGTAAGAGAATAGACATCCATTCTTTGAGAGTTAACTGAAGATGGTGTACAAATACATCCATAGATAAAGATGGATTAAAACATGACAGACAGAAGTCTAATGACGGGGTGTTGGCTCAGTATTAAGTCTATTATTTCTTACTCCAGTAACAAACAAGTGTGCGGAGCCTCCCTCTTTTATAAACTGTAACAATCTACCCACTTCTCACATCATCATTAGGCAACACATGAAAGCTGAGGCGAGTTTTAAGCCTCTTGACAAATGCAATGTAGCACCCACTTGTCAATCAAGTCAGCTATATTGTAAATATCACTTATCCCTCATGACATCATTAACAGATGAGTCATAAAAAAATCCCCCTTACAGTGTGTACCAATCAACACTTGAGCTTATCAGACCTTATTTGTTTTTTGAACCGGGTGCTACACAATTTAATTTCTGCTGTAAAAAAACAACTTTTTTGAATGGGTGTGTATGTGATTTCTGGTGTTTCTGCAGCAAGCCTCAAGTGGAAACTCGATGAACTGCAGGATTTTGCAATTCCGCATTGGCTTCACTTCACTTCTCTACTCGATATTCTGCCCAAAGGTCACAGAGGTCATTCAACTACAACAACAACTTCTGTCACATTTCTCTCACTCTTTTCTTAAAAGCTGAACATAATTCCCAAGAGAGTTGTAGTGGCTCTCTGAAGTCTCTGATGTTGTCATTTCCTGTCTCATCACCATACAACTCTACACTGCTCAGAGCGGTTATTTTAGCATCAGGAATGTTGAGTGACAGCAGATGCGTTCGCTGCGTCCATTATTATTTACAGTCTGATTCCATAAGGCTGCCTAGGTCTTATTTCTTACAACCACATTCTGATTGTTGTCGTTAACACTTAAAAGAAAGTCCAACTTAGAAAATATATGTTACTGAATAATACTCATTTATATTTGATACATTTTTTGTCCACGCTTAGTTTATTCTGTTTTGTTTTTTTACATCAAGTAAGTGCAAGTGTACTAATTTACAACAAAAATCAATCTAGTACACATATAATCGTTGCTTTAAAGGTCAATCCAATTATAGTGTGACATATGTGACTTAATAATTCATACATTCATTCATGTTATAGGATGCTTGTGTAATATATGTGATTAGATAATATAATTTCTCACACAGGACAATAAATAAACCTATATATGTGTATAGTGTAAACCTCAGTGAGGATGTCGGCTACCACCTTCCAAAAAGCTTTAAATACAAACAAATATATTTTACTCAAACTGAATTACATGTATCTTTGCCTGTGAGTTAATAAACAAACAGAAACTGTCATAGTGACTCTCTAGCCATAAGCCTAAATATTATTTCAAATATATTTTCATCTCATTAACCTCAAGTTAATATGATATAGCCTACACATCTAAAAAAGGGCTGCAGTTTAAGACTAATTTCTGTTCTGAGCCAATAGAGGGCGCTCATTTCCAAAGTGCTTGAAGTAGGAACGACCCAAACAGCAGAGTGACAGAGGTGAAGACATGGCTCTGTCCGTTTCCTGAGCTCGAGCCACTAGTGCCGGTGGACGTGCCCGAGCCACCAGTGCCAGTGGACGTGCCCGAGCCACCAGTGCCACTGGACGTGCCCGAGCCACCAGTGCCGGTGTACATGCCCGAGCCTGAGCCTGATCCCGAGTCATGTGGCGAAGTTGAATTGTTGGTAGCATTGGAGTTTGGTTTGTCTTCCATTGACTCCTGCTGTAGAATGTAAAATGAGATTTACAGATTAATTCAATAACATGCCACTGAAAATAATTCATTTTTTTCCCCCATAATATTACATTCAGGCCAATTTTATGGTGAGCAAAAAACCTCCAAGAACGCACGTTTAAACGTAAGCATTGATTTAAATGACAAGGACGAAAACGAAGACATGTTGTAAAATGATGTGTATCTCAACGTCAAGTCAAGTTTATTTCTTTAGCACATTTCAGCAACAAGGCCAATCAAAGTGCTTCACACAAGACATCAAAAGCATCGAGACAAAGAGGGAAAAGAAAGTTTAAAAATCACTAAAACAAACCATTACTGATCACAGAGAAGATTAAATATGAAGATATTAAATACAATCAAATTAGAAAGACCCAACAGAAATGCAGAAATAGACATTAAAATACAAAATAAATAACCTCAAATTTGTAATGACGATGTAATCTGCACTGTGTGCCGTTCAGTGTGAAAGGCTATTGCTGTGGAGTCGCTGAGTCAGAGTTTTCTCTGCCCGACAGACACAGATTCACCTGCTGGTCTTATCTCTTTGAGGTCAGTTTAGGCTCACAGTTTGCTCTGTCTGTGTCCGTCCACAGCTTTAGGGCGCGATCACACTGGCCATCTGTACCGTGCCGTATTCAAGCTTATGGCTTAATTTAAGCCATTTTTATCAGACACAGTAATAAATAAATTAAAAAGTAAAGTAGACGCGCAGGGATCAAGTCTTACTGTTTATTTCGTTTATTAACAGTATAAGAGCCTTTGCTGTAGAAATGTGGCCTTTTTTTATTGTTTTACTTTTAAGACTGAAGCTCGATATTTCAAAGTTTAAAACATATCTCCCTCTTCTTTCTATGTTTTAAGGCTTGTGAAGATATATTTTCTTTTTTTACCTTGGCGCAGACAAATCCCAGCAGAGCCAGCGAGGTCATCCCCAGGACCAGGTACTTCATATTTGATGAGAGATCTTCTCCTCTTTGAAGACAGACAACCAGCTGGAGATAACTTCTTTAAACCTCAGAGTTTTTTGTTGTTGTTGTTTTTGTTTAAAAGATTAGACAATCTTTGTTATTCTCCTGCTCGTACTCAGGTGTATCTTAGGCGAACGTCTCAGATGTGTAAAAGGTGTGTATCCCGGGGACTTGTCTTTTATAAGGCGCTCTGATTATTCACCTGATGCTTATTTCCATCCGGGCCGCCTTCCATCAGTCTCCACCCCAGCAGCTATGGCTCACAGATGCAAAACCTCACACACATCTATCAAGAAGGTTTAAGAGAAATGGTCTCTGCTGCTACTTGCACAGTCAGGTGGTTCTCTTTAAAGCAGCCCTTGATATCAAACTGTGTCGTTTCTCTCAGGTCAAATTTAATTGAATAATAAATAATAACTGCATATGAACAACCCTCTCGTGCTTAAATGTCGCAGTTACACAATTTAAAGCTAAAAGGGGCAGTGGTAGCTCAGTCTGTAGGGACTTGGGTTGGGAACTGGTGGGTGGCACGTTCAAATCCCGGTGCGGACCATATCTGGAAATTGGTCTGGTAGCCGGAGAGGTGGAGGTGTCTCCAAACAGCGGTTTTGGTTTCATGCTGGTGCTCATTGGTGACATCTACTGGATCAAAAAGTCGCACATTCTTCCTTTAAAGGCTTTATGTGCGATTTTTTGATCCAGCAGATGTCGCCCTTGAGCACCAGCATGAAACCAAAACAACTTGCGGTGCATTGTTGTGTTAGCATGCTAATGCTAGCGATCTTTATTACGCTCGTATCTTCACACTGCATGTAAATTTACCTGAAATGAGCGTGATCTAGAAACACAGTTAAGCAGTGAGTACAGTATGTTATTCTTCTTTTCTCTAGTCCCTCAATTAAACAACTTTTATACACGAGGGGAGGAGTCAGCCGGCCGTCCTGGCGATGTAAACAAACTGAAGATAGGACTCTGAAAACTCTGAAAACATCACAGACAGTGGGACTCGGGTGTTACACCCATTGTAGACAGTCATGACTCAGAGTTATTTTCAGAGGATATACTTGATTTCTACATTTAAGTTTGAATATAAAGCCTTTAAATCGACTGTTAAGTCTCCAAAAGGCAA